TAGGATAACTCTTGCTTTTCACCTGCCCCAATATCATTTTCTTGGAAAAAATATTGCGTTCTTTCCACATACTGGGCGCAATGTTTGACAGCAGGATCGAATGAGTCAAGCTTCCCAAATAATGGCATGATGCCAGAAATGTTTACTCCAACTCAAAGACAACTGTTGCCAGCTAATGTTCCTCACGCACATACTGTTTTCTCCCATTGCCACTGAAAAATTGCACTGAGGTTGGTATCACCAAATCAGCCCTTATTCACATGTGCACAGCACATTGGCTGTGGCCAGCCAGGCTGGAGTCAGTCCCTGAATTCAGGAGGCTCTCTGAATCCCCTATTTATTTGCCTTTCTTTCCTCCTTCCTTTTTTTTTTTCCTTTTTTTTTTGTTATAATCCCTTAAGTCAGGAGACTCTCCATTCCTTGACCTGACACAACCTGTCCATCTTCTGGTCCATCTTCTGTCCCATCTATCTGCTCCTCTCACCTCATTGACCAATCCCCACCACTCCCTACCTGCACTTACCTATCACCATCCCACCTACCTTCCCCAGCCCCACCCCTCCTCTCTATTTGAGTACCCTTCCCCTCCGCCATTTCTGAAGAAGAGTCCCAACCCGAAATGTCAGCTTTCCTGCTCCTGTGATGCTGCCTTGTGTTCCTCCAGTTCCACACTTCGTTATCTCTGACTCTCCATCCCCATTTGTTTATTTATTCATTTATTTTCCTTTTTTATTGAGTCCTACCCCTGAACTGAGGAGATTCTAAATCCACTGTTTATACATTGTTTTCCTGTTTATTTATTTTTCTTCTTTTTTCATTTTTTTTTATCATCCCTGAAGTCAGGAGACTCTGTTTATCCTCTGTTTATGTCTCTCAGCCAGGGATCCCTGATTGTCCCAGGTTAACAACCCCAAAAATGGATATCATAGTCAATAGGATCCACCTGGTTCAAATCACTAGCGATACTAAAAAGATTTTGCCACACTACATTTAATTAAAAAGGTGATTCAATTTATTTTAATCCATAGCGTTAACAACTCAAACTGAGCTGTTGTTTGTGAACCAGTGAATATGGTTCAGTCCTGGAAGTGACTAAAAGTAAAGTCTAACTCCTGTAGTTAGGTATGACCTTGCTGGTGACTCAGCAGGAGTGAATCTGTCAGGATTCAGTTCAGATGACGGGCCTCTCTGTGAATTCGCTGGTGTGCTGACAGATGGAACGATTGCTTAAACACAGTCCCACACAGTGAGAGAATCTGGAAGGTATCTCTTGAGTGTGAACATGTTGATGGGTCATCACTTCCTACCAACTTTTAAAATATTTCTCAGACTGGACGATTGAAATGTCTCTCCATAGTGTGTACTCATGGGTGTAGCATGAGTTTGGGTGACTGAACGAATCCTTCACAACATATGGAGCAGCCTGACTCCAGTGTGAAGTTGGCGGTGTACATTGAGTTTTGATGATAGCTTTAATCCAATCCCACAGTGAGAGCGCCTGAATAGTCTCTCATCAGTGTGAACATGTCGAAGGTGCATCAGTTCTCTGGAACTTTTAAAACATTTCCTGCAGTTGGGCATTTAAAAGGTCTGTTTTAAGAGTGAACTTGCTGGTGTACTGAGATGGAATCACCGGTGAATCCTTTCCCACACGCTGCAGGTGCATGGCCTCTCCCTGTGTAAATTCTCTGATGCATAGTGACCTTAGATGAGTGAGAGTATCTGAACGGTCTGACCTCAGTGTGAACACATTAATGTAACAGCACTTCCCTAGAACATTTGCAGCACTTCCTGTAATCTGTATTTAAAAGGTTTATCCCCAGAGTGAACTTGCTGGTGGACCATGAGCTGGGAAGACAGTATAAATCAGTTTCCATGCTCAGAGCACATGAATGGCATCTCCCCAGTATCATTGTGCCAATGGATCTCCAGCTCAGGTGGGGAGCTGTATCCTTCATCACAGTTCCAGTATATTTCCATGGTCTTTTCCCCAGTGTGACTATGTTGGTGAATTCCTTCCCACAGTCCCAACATTTCTGTTCTCTCTCCCCACTTTGACTGTGTTGGTGAATTTCCAGCTCCAATTACTTACTGAATACTTTCTCACATACCTCTCATTTTGACAGTATCTTCCCAAGTGTAACTGTGTGGATGAATTACCAGCTCAGATTGATCACTGAATTCCTTCCCACAGTCCCCACATTTGTATGGTCTCTCCCTAGTGTGACTGCGCTTGTTTCTGTACAGGCCAGATAATTGGTTGAAGCCTTCTCCACACTCAGAACACGTGTAAGGTTTTTCTTCACCATGAACAGTGTTCTTTCCTTCCTTCCTTCCTTCCTTCTCTGTTCAAAATCCAATTACATTTTGGTTGTGATAAATTGGAAACCTCTATCAAATTCTGAGGTGCTGCTGGATTTGCGATCCCTGACTATAATTCCTCCATCTCTGGAATCCTCTGAAACTGTTTTAAAACAGAAATAAGAGGGTGAGAGAACACCCACAATGGCAGACAGTGAACTGAATGAATCTGCTAATTTGTTGGGTTGACACTACGAGAAATTAATCATGAAAGCTGAAGTATGTCATAAAAACCAAACAGGTTCACTAATGTCCATTTGGACCCCAGTCTGATCATTCAAAAGAAACTGGCCTCGGTGGAATGTAGCAAAGAAAGAATCGGAAGAGGCAGAGGCAAAGGAGAGAAATTGTCTGTATTTATAGTTTGACCAGAACTTTGACAGAGTCTCCCAAACACTCAACCTTCACCATCTAGAAGGACTAGGATAGAAGATGTATGTCGACAGTGTAACCTCCAAATTCCTTCCAAATCTCTCACCCTCCTGTCTTGTCTGACTTTCAGTACTGGATGGATAGAAATATACTCTAAAGATGAAAGGAGCTGTTTTCAGTTGGACCCAACATCAGCCTCCTTTCCTGCAACTATCTGATGCTGAAACAGACCATTCGGGACAATAATGTCATGCACAAATGAAACGTTAAACTACAGATTCACAATCAACACCAAGTCCATGTACTTCCACATCAGTGACATCACCCAACTCCACCCTAGTCTTAGCACATCTGGCTTTGAAACTGTTGTCCATTCTTATCTTATTTCTAGACCTAAGCATTGTGCCATGCTCCTGTCTGGCTTCACACAATCAACATCTCAGTAATTTTGAGGTGACTTCAAATTCTACTGCTTACAATTGGTTCTAAGTTCTGCAGATGCTGAAAATGTGATGCGAGAAAAGGGAAAATATTGGAAATAATCAGCAGGTGAGTTAATACCAGAAAAAAAAAAACTGAAAGAACTGGGAATGCTGTAAATCGGGAGCAAAAACAAAGGTGCTGGAAAAGCTCAGCAGGTCTGTCAGCATCTGTGAAGGAAAAACAGAGTTAACATTTCGGATCCAGTGACGCTTCCTCAGAACTGATGGTGGCTGGGAAAACATCAGTTTATATGCAGAAAATAGGGAGGTGGGTGGGGTAGGGAGTAAACAATAAGATAGAGCCTTAAGAGAGAGCAGGACATTTGGGCAGACAAAGAAGTTGATAACGATCAGGCTGGGAGGATGAATAGTTTTTAATGGGGACTATTAGTGACTGACAACAGGTAATGTGTAATGGCAGGCTATGTGATAACAAGGCTTGATGAGTGGGGTAGGTGGCTGGGACATGGGAGAGTTTAGGCCCTAAAATTATTTTAACTCGATATTGAGTCCAGAGGGCTGCAAGGTTCCCAAGCGGAAAATTAGGTGGTGTTCTTCCAGCTTGTTGAGCTTCGCTGGAACACTGCAGCAAGCCAGAGACAGAGATGCTGGCCAGGGAACAGTGTGGTGCGTTAAAGTGGCAGGCAACAGGTAGTTCAGTGAGTTAATAATTGTGTTTCAGGATGTGCTGAATAAATCACAGCTAATGGTGGAGAATTTGACTTTCCACAGAAGATCAGATGCAAAAGAGAAATTAGCTCCAGGGCAGTCCAGTGTTCTCGAAAGTGGGTAGAAAAAGCTGGTATAACAAAGTGTAGAGCTGGATGAACACAGCAGGCCAAGCAGCATCAGAGGAGCA